ACTATATAGGCTGGAGAATAATATAGGATTTTTATTTCTAGTCATAGTCGCGAGTAAAAGCTAGTAGTCTATATAAAACAAACTTTATATTTTTCATTCTATACTAGGTACTATATTAATTTCAAAATTTTTAGAGAACCTTTTTACGGATGTAAAAACAAGTATTTGTACAATAATTTATGTTTATTTTATGGCATCCTAAAAATTATAAGTATTTTTATTTAGCTTATATTCTAAAAGATGCTTATATACAAGACTATTTTCTATTATAAAGTCACGATGTCCCACTGCTGAGTAAAGGTTTTCCCATCTCCTTCCAAAAGTTCTTATTCTGTGTCATCCTAAATCGATCCCTTTTTACGCATTTAATGTATAAAAGGTTGCTCTATAAATATATGAATCTATTTTAATTATTAACTTTAAAATTTCGACTATGGAATGACAAATTTATATTATACCTATAACAAATAATAATATTTATATAAAGCATCGACCGAAATACAAATTGACTAGCTTTTTACTCGTTAACTTGTACGCGTAGATTTGAGAAGTAGGGAACTCAATTAAATAGATCACTTCAATATAAAATATACATTTAATTTTAAATTATACATTCAAGAACACAACTGTCAAAACACTATCCTACTTAGTATAGTAGTTTAGCGTGGTTTCGGAACAAATAGACGTACAAACAGACAGACAAAATTTCAAATAATTATAGTTTTGGCGTCTATTAGTTTTATTAAGGCCCTCAACTTTTTTTTTTTTTAAATATTCCCCACGTAAAAAATTATTTAGTTATAATTTTGTAATATTAGCAAGATAACATACAAATAAGATTTAAGTAACTCGACGCGAGTTTCACACTGTAGCGCATCGGAAATTATGGTTTGTAGCTATCTACATTTTAAAAATTAAAACTGACTGGCAAATAACGTGCCTACAGCTCAAACTGCTGAAGTTAGAAACATTATATGAACTTAACATTTATTAAGATACACACGGTTTACGAAAATATTATCACCTTATCTAGTAGAAATAATACAAATTATCCAGTCATATACGTTCCTGTAATTAATATTTTAGAGATTGCGCTTTCAAATGTCCTTCTTATTTATATTAACTATTACATGTATGATCTTCCAATTTGTAACTATGAACAAAAGTATAGTTTCTTTCATTATATAATGAAGAGACTTTCATAATGAGACTTTCAGTTTACTAAAAATTGTTATTAAGAAAGTGTAAAAATTTTTATATAATTTTACTCTTAGCTATTATAATGCTACACTTGCTGTTAAACGAACACGTACATACACGTTTTCTTTTACAAATTCTTCATGCGACTCCATTAATGACTGTAAAATATAGATTCTGGTTTAATTGTTAAAAGAAAAAAATTGCACCTCACAATATTGATTGCATTGACTTGCAAATTGCACTTTAGCGATCGGCAGAAAATGAAAGTTCTGAATAAAGTTACCACTCACGGCGGTTTTTGTTGATCATCTCGTGTGAAATCTGAACAAGTATTTTAGCGCACAACAGAACATTATCCCACGACTGTCGTATTTGATCTGACTTCTAATATCGCTCCTCGCATGAACATCTTCGTTAGAGAATTTCACTTCATACATTTTTATTTATATAAGGCCATAATTATTTGTTATGTTTTATTATTTTATTAAATTACATGAGTAGTTAATAATTTTAAATACCTATAAAATTTTGACCTAATTAAAAATATAGATAATTTCCATATAAATAACAGTTTCATACTAATTCTCTATCTACGTATCAGACATTGACTGGCTGACCCATAATTGTAATATCACATAATTTTTGTACCTACTCTGACATTAATACACAAGGTATGAATTACAATTAAATAAACACAAAAATATAACATATTCATTTCACTCAAAGCAAGTATAATTTTATGTTTACAATCACAAATTAAAATCTTAGGGAGATAATAGTATTTTTTATAAAATACGAAACTTGTAGAAACGCAAGTTTCCTACAATAATTTATTACATGTTTACATATTTAAGTACCTTATTTTGTTTTATGAATCATGTATATTTTAGATACCCAAAGAGATTTAGGAATTTAATATTTTAATAATTCAGAGCAGCTTTCACTGGACGCTAGACGTTGATCAACGAGCGTTAAATTGGATAATACTGTCTCTGTCCGCCTCACTTTAACATGATCAACATTTTGACAGACCAATTAAACAATTAGAAATACAAAACAATCATAATTATGCGTATATCCCTTACGGTTTAAAACAAATAATTAATCAGAAATAATTTGGCCGGTAAATAAACCACAGATATGTTGTCTGTTGATCGAGCCTTTTTTGTTCCTGTGCAATTTTTCCTTATTTACTTAGAAATTATGTAAAATACTTTCTTAGTAACTTCGCCTGCCCTATCGTATCATAACGAAATACTTACCAGTAGCAGATAATAGGCGAGAAAGAAGGTTAATTGGTCCAGCATGACGAATTTATCAGAAATTCAGAGAAAGGAAAATAATCACGATGGTTTTCAGCAGGGAAGGACCATGTGGAAGTCGAGCTGATAGGCTATATTGATAATAATGGAGCTATTAAACATTATAACTAACAATCCCTCTCTACCGGCTTCCAGAAATCTTACCAGCCTGCCTTCTGCAGTATGCTTATATGTTTTTAAGCATGCTCGATCAATTTACCTCTAAGTTTTGGAAGATCCCAGACTTCCATTCTTCTCAAGAGAGAAGAATAGAAGGGTCAAGTAGTATCTTGATTTAATAAGCCGTGATTAACACTTCTCAGAGTCTATTCGCTGACTTTAATTCATTTAGTAGCATAATAAAATAAGGTTGTTTATCGAATTGACACATCCCTTATAGGTAATAATAGGCTATTATTAATTTAATATTAGATAAATGAATATATAGAGCACAAAGTTATATTGGTATTACTAGCAAACGTTTATTTATCAATTTTTACAACTTTTTTTGGTACCGTCCATCAGTAATTCCCAAGATTCATACAGTACAGTTATAAAATCAATTAACTATACATCACTATCGCCATAATTACGGTTAAGCATACATATTAATAGCTTACGTAGTACTCGTGAATAGCGGTTTTACAGAATACAGAGGAACGAAAGTGATATTTGTGTGTAGGTATGTTATGAGTGCGCACGATCGCCTCAGAAGGGCACACGAGAGGCTGCGGCATTGGGACTAGACCACGTTTATGATTAGAATTTGATTGGGTGACTACTGTCCCACATTTCTTAGCGTTTCTTGTCTGAGGTGCTTAATTGAGCGCGGCCGGCACCTACTACACAGTCTATTATTATAATATCGCCGTAGATTACAGAAAATAGAAAATGCCCCAGGGCCCGCTTTCTTGCGAGTAACTAGTGCTACCAGCCTAGTTACGAACAGGTGGGTGCAGCCGTAGAAAAAAATATATCAATCTGTATTACCGACATAAATAGAAATATAAACGTTTCGGGGCTCCGCTAACGAGCGATGGTTACGCTTAATCGCTTAACAACTTAATTTAACTGACCGTTTAATTTTTTTAAATCAAATTAGTCTTTTTCCTATGTTAGTATTATAAATAGTTTTATTTTATCTTTTAATGTCACGTGAATTGTAAACTTCAATGTGTAGAATTTTGCAATATCTCCATTATTATGGACCCTGGCATATCTATAGATATCCATACCATTTTAACAATGACATAAACATTCAATTGAAATTTAGTATGGTATCTAAGAGCGTGGAGCAGTCAAGTATATTCTCGTATCGACAGACGAGACTTTCTGTGCTTTCTAACCAGCAAGCGATCAAGTGTCTAGGGTGAAATCGTCCACACCATTGCTGTTGTATCCGACTTAAATTGCACTTGTGCCTACCACCGCCTACACCCATATTATATATAAATGTACTAAATTATACACTATTTAGAAAGAATAGAAATACTTTTTATTCAACATAATTTTTAAGTATTTTTAAATGTACTTTATTATGAATTGTCCAACTCAGAATACAAAATCAGCTGAAAAAATTGTGCAAAAAAATTAAAAGGAGATCAGAGGAATACTTTTTGAAAATTCCCACGATAATTTTCTTATTTTCGTATCGTTACTATACTAGATCTACAAAGTCAATTTTTTTCTGATTTGTATGGTTAGGTACTATCAAGGAGTACCAAATCTTAAGTGTTAGTTATTAAATAATTAAATTAAGTTAGAAGTATTAATATCAGTAATGTTTATACTTAATTGCAATAATCTCCGTAAAAGAAAAAACTTACTGATAGATATAGGTGCAACAAAAACAGAAAAAATTTTGCATAAGGTTCCTCAAATACCTCGAGCGAGAAGTAAGAAATGCTTTTTGAAAATTCCCACGAATATATTTTTATCTCTATATCGTTCCAATATCGGATCCACACTAAACAAGCTGTGAGAAATAACTAAGATATATTATTTGCTACGAACTTAATAAAATGTACATTTAAATACAATGTCAAGATTATGCCTCCCTATATAATTCTTTCCACAGTAAATTTTACATTATACTGTTTATATATAATGCTTATTATTAGTTCTCTGTACCTACTTATAACTAATCTGAAAAAATACACATTATAACGTCACTATTGCAATTACTCTTTTATTTATATCTATTACAGATATACTATATTGTATTTGTCTATAAGTACCTTCTTGACATACTTCTTTCTGCTTAATTATTAATTGTTTATTTATTTACGTTATCTGCATACTAAAAGTTAATTTATTAATAAATTGGCTTAAATCCTGATAATTTACCTTATATAATATATTATGATCTTCTTATAATAGAATTACTTGAATATTAATAGCATTAATTAATTTTATATCAATTTAAGATTGAATTAAAGCAAAATATGCGGAAAACAAAAGGTTTGAAATAAAAGCTCCATTGATAGTCTCGGTTTTTATTTCTTAAACCAATAGTACCGTAAATAAACGGTCAATATTTGTTTATAAAAAATGTTCAATAAGCGTGTAAATACAGTTGACCTTGAGCGTAATAAGGTGAAGGCCGAATGCGGTTTCCTCTCGATGAAACGGGAGAGGCACGCGTCGCTGGAAAGATGCGACCGGTGCAGTTCCGGCGCTGCACGCTGCATTCGGTCAGTGGGTCAGCCCCACTTGCTACGCTGGTGGGGCTTGGGTGGCGGGGCGTGGGGGGAGCTACTGCAGCGTCCACGGCGCAAGCAGTGCGGCTAACACAGTCTCCGCCATGGTCGCCGCGCCCGCGCCGAAAGTGTCGCATCACTAGCGCTCATGTCCAGCGCCGCCCGCGCTCGGGCCCTAGGCTAGTGCTCTCCTGAACGTGTTTCGTTGGTTGCAGGTCGCGGACTGAAACTGGACTGTGACTATGAAGAGGACCAGGTTGCTGCTGGCTATTGCGACGCTCCTGTTACAGGTAAGCAACTTTATTTTTATTTTGATAAGTGAAAGTAGGCGATACCTAAATTAAATCAAGATGTTTTTTAAGATAAACAGAAATGAAAAGCCAAGTTTAACAATTGTTGTGAAAGGGCAGATTGATCGGTTGAGTGTTACGCGCCTTAACTGCAAGCGCACGTGCCGGGTGCGTTTCACGGTAATTTCAATGTTCAAGTTCATTACCTACAACGGAAATGCTCGATTTCCTTAGATTATATAACCTTAATTTTATTTATTTATTACTAGCCGATTCACGCGGGCAACGGGATAGGAATAAATAATCCTATGTGTTAAGTTAGATTTCTACCTACCTATATCGATACCAAATTTCATTCAAACGCGTCCAGCCCTTTTTTTATGGGTGATAATGAAACGGTACCCCGCCTCCGCTATCGGTATACGATGGCGGGGCACCAGTGCTGGGTGATAGGTGACGATGAAAGCAGGTTCGTTAGCCAATCGTGACGAATTCCACTAGAATTAATCACAATAATTTCCAGGGGGAACCCCGTGGAGGTCGAGCTGATAGGGTGTTGTTAGGTATGAAGAAATTAGACCTTATTACTAACAATCCCTTTTCCCCCAAACCCGTCCAGCCTTTAAAGGGTTGAATATCAAACATGCAATATACAACAAACATCTTAACATCTAAATATCTTTTCAAACGTTCATATTTATTAGGATTTAGGGTACAGCGGCTTTGTCTACACTGATCTATTTTTATGGGCACCTGTTTTTATGGAAAATGTCAATTTTCTTAGTATATACATACGTTATATTTACTATATAATTATATGAATAAAATCAAGCTTTCAATCAAATTTGAGTACTAATTTAATACATATATATTAAAATAATTGAAATAATTTAAATAAGAAAAAATCATGAATCATAATATACAAAAAAATCACAAGTTGACTATAATAGTAGAAAATGTCTGCATTCTGTTGCGTTTTATTTTTTCTTTGATGCTTATAAATGTAGCAGCTCGGCACGTACAATCTCACTAATGCCGCAGTTTTACAGTCCATATTGTAATACTTTACTAATGCAATAACGGCTGTGCTGGTGCATTATAAGCTAAATACGAGCCGCAACTTCGCTTGTAGTACCGTTTCCATCTGAACATATATGAGTAGTAGCTACTACTAGTCACGCTTAATTCTTTTAAAGCCACTTGTTTAATAACATTAGATAGATATGTATAGAGATTTTATTATCTATTTTTTATTTAGTATTGATAATTTTAAACATAATGATTTATGAAATTTAAAACTTTTTAATTTCAAATTGTTATTAACTTTTTGGTAATCTACCCTTACTACTTGTTTGAAGCACATTTTATAATAATAGAAATAATAAGAATATAAAAAATTTGTGTAATTATTCCTGCAAAATAATTAATATGACAAATTTGTGTTACTGCGTAACTCAATAGTAATAATTTTCTAATAATCGATAAGAAGTAATATATTTAGAATTATATTTAGAATTATATTTAGAAACTTAGAATTTATTTTATCACAGAAGTCTAAAATAATATTTGAAATTAAAATATTTAATTGCTTCATAATAACTCAAAATAAGATTTATCTGTTTAAATTAAAACAGTTTAGACATTTTATTTAAAAATATCTCCCAATATTCTAAATATAAAATAATCTCAATCGATATCTACTTCATTGGTTCAAACAATTGCTTACTGTACAAACTGTTTTTCGTAGAATTCCTTATGTGCACCCCTGAACGCTGATGGCGTGCCGTGTTGTACGCTACGCGCTTCACTCTTGCATTATTCAGCTTTTTCCGCTCGCGTTCTCTATAACTGGGCTAATGATTCCGTTAGTACATCCACAAAACAGACCATTCGAAGCTAACTGCGTATGCTGATCTGCGTATATTGAATGTCTATAAGAGAAATCAGCTCTTAGCACGGCGATCTTGAATTAATTGAGGTGCATTCGTCGTTCGCGTTACTATAGAGTACAGACATTTTCATATTTTCTGCATAATTTTTAAAAAGTAACTGGTATATTTTAAAAAAATAATATCATATAATCACACTAACCACTTGATCCTCTGATGATACTTTGTGTCATTACATCATGACAAATCTGCTAATAAGCAGAACGCCCAGATCTGAGCAATTAATTTCGAAAAGTTCGTTTCTTAAATGCCCTCGTCCGAGAAATAAACATGGAACCTCAGTTGCTTAAAACAATACCTTTTGACTACTCTATAAAGGTCTTCAAGTAATATGAAAGTCATTTCTGTCTTTATTCACCAATTGATTAAACTATAATTGAAAGCGTACATGTTTACTACCTTGACTCACAAAGAGCTTGTAGACGTGCGTTCGAATTTAGCCGACACAAAAACATTGTATCAATTTATATTTACAACCATATTTTCTATGATATTATTAAAGTCCCGTTCTCCAGTTATATATAAGTAGATATTATTATATTAGAAAACTTGTGTTTTCTATTATAATAACAAATAGTACTTTATAAATCTCTTTGAAATTCGCCTTGTGATTTATTTGATTTGATTTATTTCTTTGTTGTTTGTAATGGATATACTCAAAAACGATTATGTATACCTATTCAAAATTCTTTCACCTATAGAAAGTTACATTACCAACGAGCAACTAAGCTATATATATATATATATATATATATATATATATATAATGTAACCCAAGATATAAAAAAATTGCATATTAAAGCTATGTTGCAGTCAAAATTCTTAACCAGTCAAAAGTACTATTAACTAGCAAAATCAGTCTAAAGTACTTTTGACCGTATGCTTTAGTCAATAATACTTTTGACTAAAATAACAGTTAAAAGTATTTTTGTCCAATAGAGTTGGTTAAAGGTACTCTCGACTAAGTGATTTCGTTAAAAGTGGTTTTGACTGGTTGTATCAGTCAAAATTCTTAAAAAGTCCTAACCTAATTTACTTAGGTTAGGTTAGGTAAATATGTTTTCTATGTATTGATTGTAATGCTAAATTTTTCGTAATAAATGATTTCACATTTAATAAATATTTTTTTTATTCACATCTAAAGTTAATAGTGCTTTTGACTGATACTTTATTGCAGCTAAAACTACTTTTGACGAAGAGCGTCAGTCAAAAGTAATTTTAAACGCAAATTTGCAGTCGAAAGTACTAATAACCAATAATTTTCAATCAAAACCACTTTTGACCGACCTGTTCAGTCAATAGTACTTTTTAACTGACTGACTGGTTAAGAGTTTTGACTGCAACATATATGAAGCATAATATAAAGTACTAATTTATTTATCTATCTATCTACTCGAAGCTGGGACACTGCTAACAAAATTAACAAGGGGTCCTATTTTAAGATAACATTCTCTATTTATTTTTTGTAACAATAATTTCGATTGAATATTGAAGGAATCTTTTTCCTATTCTAAGAATCAATATAAACCAGATTAGTAATAAAATTGAGTCAAAAGTACTCTATATTCCGTTACATTATTATGATGTTGGAACGTCAAATTAAAATGCTATTTTAAATCTTGGAATAACCACTGAGGTTTCATTACCTCATACACGTTTGATTTCATACACGTTTCATTTCATTGTGTGATTTTTTCTCACTACAAATAAATATATACTCACCATGGTTCTGACTGCTTATTTTATGACAGAAATATTTAATATACTACCTATATAAGTCGATCATCAAGAAATTGCGTCTAAGTAATATTTGTTTGTACATAGGTATTTCTTTATGGCCATAAAATCATACAGTATGTTCGCCATCTAACATTAATAAAAAGTTATGTTCCCTTACTTACTTATATTTTTTATAAACTGCTATACTTATTGAGTAGTTTTTCTATTATAAATCAATCCAATCAATTTGTAGAATCAAACTTGTATTGTCATTACGTTATTTCTTCAAAGTAATTCGATTTAAAACTGCAAGATAACTTTTAACGCAATTGGATTGTGCTCAAACCGAAGTCACATCAAACAGTGGTTAAAACAAAATAAAAATAGTTTACAATATAGGTATACCTTCTAACTAACACGCACAACATTTTACTAAGGTCACATAAAATATTCTAAATATGAATTTATTCCAAATTCGATTAAACCAGAAAGTGAATTAGATGGTTTAACATGAATTCTCAATATATTGATATAAAAATATTTCTGAATGTGAGAAAAATTGCAGGTAGGTAATTAAAAAAATTAAACAATTATTTTATACTAATTGTATCCCGCGGCTTTGCCCGCATGAATTAGTACATAAAGTATACTAAGTACTAAGTTAAGATATAACCTACCCATGTATCAAATTTCATCCATTTTTATAATCGCATTTATGATATTAATAGAAAAATTAATTTAGAGGTATTTTTTGTTTACCATCGAAATTATATAATAGTGACATCTATTTGACGCAATTTCGATTCGATTGCGTCAAAAATCGGCCCACTATTTTAAACAACACAATTGCAAATGTCATAAACATTGCACGATTTATGAGTAAGTAATTTTTCAATGTCTAATCTGGAAGCAAGAACAAATCGAGTCATTGACCGTCATAATACCTATTTCGACTAACACTTTCACTGAATGAAGAATCACGTTTGTATCAGTAAGTGACGTAACAGCGGCGTGAAGTCGATTTCATTTTTGCCCATGAAAACAATTATAATACAATTTGTGAACGGAGACAGTTCTTTGGTCGTATCAGTTACAGTTGTTACGAAGCTACATCGTTCACGATTAAATAATTTGACAGTCATTATAAAATTGATTGATTAATTCAAGGGGTGTATCCATTACACTCGTTGGCTATTGTTGTGTAATCTAATATACATATGATATACACTTTCATAATAGTCAATAAACTTTTTATGTCTGATCGGTTCTATTATTTATAAAGATTAGAGGTTCTTTATTCACTGTGATTTGTATATTTTATAT